TTGAATAATATCTTGGAACCCTAATCTTCTCTACTACCAGTAGTACTCCTACTATCTCTACTACTATGGGATTTGAATTGAGAATTGTGTCTCTGTGCTAATGTGGTATGGTCACCTGAACTGATGTACTTATGTACGAAGTTCTACGTTGCATCTGACAGACAGACTGACTGACTGACATTAGGCAGATGTATTCGTAGTCTGAGTAACAAGTAAATATAACTTTATAATCTGTCCTAAGTCTTTGTCACCTACATGGAACGTAGGAACTTGAAATAATGTAAAGCCATAGTATGGTATTCGTGTCCATAGTAAGAACATTTTCCAAAATAATACTTCAGCATTCTTGGGAACATTTTACTCTCCATTCAAATGGTATGTTATCTTCTAGTTGTTTGAAATCTTGATCAGTCCTATGTTTTGTTAGAATTTTCTTGCCAAAATTTGCCTATTCCATAGGTAGCAAAGTAATTAAGTTATGTAATGTAACAATGGACTGGATTATAAAAAAGTTTAGACTCAGTCATGATTGACTGGTTACTTGTGATCACTATAATGAACTAACCGACCATAGTGTTGAATGGTTTCATTAAATGAATTCATGAAAAACGTTTTCATAGTACTGTTATCTATTTCATTTAATTCATGTTATGTAAAATAAATGTACTACGACACAGAGAAAAAGAATAGTGAATTTTTAGGAAATTACACTTAGTACGTGAATTTTAATTATTTTTTTTTAGACAAATAGGTTAAACACTTGAACGATTGTTAAAAAAAGTCCACCTTTGAAGTTTTGTTCACAATTGTGATTTTATACGAAAAATGTGGTCAGTATGTCAGATGACAGTTTTATTCTCCACTCACAATATTATTGCGAATTACAAATATTTTGTAAAGATTTTTTTCTTATTTTAATAGAATGAAAGTACTCATTTAAAATAAATAAAGACATATGACAGCGTATACTAATAATCTTATATAGGGCTATAATTAGTAATGCATATATATATATATATATATATATATATATATATATATATATCAGAATTTATCATTTTTGTGTAGGTTTTATGCAAAATTTGACTTTCAATGATCAATGTACCAGATAACTGCAGAAAAATAGTGTTTACTACAATTTTAAGTGTTGAAAATTCTAGTCAACATATTGTTATATAAAGTTCAGTAACAAAAATATCTTTGATGTTTGTGGTAGTGACATTATAGTGAGCAATCGATTTTCTAAATGATAAATGTAGAACACTAGATTTTTTTGGTTAATGAAGTGTATTTTAACAAGGGTTAAATTTTTTATTGAAAAGCAGGTTAAAATTAAAAGAATATGACTGAAGTGCAATTTGTACACTGACTAAATTTTGTTTTGTTTCAATGGTTGGATAATAAACATTATTTATTGAAGTTAATCTGTTCAGAAACCAAAACATGGCACAAATGCATGAAGTCATTGACAAGTGGGCTGAGTCATGTTGGTAGATGTAGACTACCTGGTTGGGATCCGCGAGACGAAAGTCACCAATGGTTAGAGACCTTGAATGACGTGGCTCAGAATCGTTTGCAATGGCGCAGGTGCATCCACTCTTTGTATTCTATGAAATTCTAAGCTTCTGCATTCCTCATAATCTCTACCTTTCTCCTTCTAAATTTATCTTACTGAATTATGCATATCGAATCATATCTTCGAACTATAATCTTCTCCATTACTGTTAATACTTCTACTATCGCTATCACGCTTGGATTTGAACTGACAATTGCGTCTCTGTGCTGATGTGTTGTATGGCAACCTGAACTGATGTACTTACGTACGAAGTTGTGCATTGTATCTGTCTGCCTGTCTGTCTAATCTGTTCAGAATGCTGAGAATGAAAAATTGTTGAATTAATTGTTGACAGTAATTACAATTAATAAAATAAAATAAACCAAAGCATAATTCAATCGCATCTTTTATTGTTGAGGTAACTTTTCACATTGATTCAAGGCATAAACTGAACAAAGACAGTTATTCATTCGGTAATGTAATGATAGAATTTGTAAATAAATTCTTAGGTGAAAGCTTCGATTACAGTCATCTTCAGAATAGTTTTGCCGATTACTAAATCTTTTACCCTACTAACTATATTAAAACAAGGACCTGAAAGTGTTTTGCCTAATGAACGTCACTCTCAAATCCTAATCTTCTGGATTCTTCAACAAATCTAGTTTAGTCTTTCTAAACCTATCCAACTGAATCATACTCCTTGAATAATATCTACAAATCCTAACCTCTCCGATTACTTCTAATACCTTAACTACCTCTACTACTGTTGGATTTGAATTGATAATTACATCTCTGTGCTAATGTGGTATAGCAACATGAACTGCTGTACTTACGTACGAAGTTCTACGTTGCATCTGACTGACTGACTGACTGAATGAACATCAAGTAGCTTTCATTTAACAAATTAACTAAACTGAGTCTGAGTTGATTTGGATGATAGTGTTGATGATAATACCTGACTGAGAAGTTAGGATTGTAGAACGAAGTTAGTTGAATTTTAGTTTATGTGACACTCAAACAATAGGGATATGAAATTTTGGTCTACAGTTGGATTTTATGGTTCGATCGATTTGATGTTATATGCAAATTATTATTAGTTCGACAATTTTTTTTAAAAATTGTAGTATATGACTGACTTTAAGTCATATTGAATCTTCAAAAACTTCCCATAAATAAATCTGTATTATAAAAATTTGTTCAGTTTCTTGAAGAAGTGAGAATTTCCCAATAAATAAAGTTGGTAGACAAGTAAAATATTTCATACATCATTCAAATAACATATTCATCATGTTTATTTTATTAAATTAAGCAAATAATTTTTCTGTGAAATCATTCGGTCATGTTCCATTTGTTAGAAGATGAATACAAATTATTTCTGTTGATGATGCAGGCTTATTTTAACTGTTCTAATATGTTGCATAATGGTAATGGTAGTGATCAAAGATGAAATTCCCTATGGACTGACTGGTTTTTGACCATTATTTTTTAACCAATGTAGGGAACTTCTTGGCATTTTGCTAGTGTAATTCAGTAAAAAGGAATTGATCTTTATACACTGCTGAACTTCATGGTGATTTAGTGGTGAACTATGATAATGAAGCTTCTTAAGTTCAAATAAAATTGTTGAGGACGTTAGATCACCAGAAATCACTTGTAAAGGTCCTAATTTTGTAATTTAATTCTGAAATTTTAAATTTACGTGTTTTTCACGCCAAGAGACTATTAGTTGATCTACAGCTTACATTTCCCACTCGGAAAATCTTTGACTGTCATTGATTGATGGATTATTTTAGTACTCTATTATGTGACTGTCCTAAGGGTATCGCTATCATTGTATAAATGTATGCATGATTTGTGTGCTTAGCAACCTCGTATTTTCTAGAATACATTCTCTACGCCTTATCAAGATTTGTTAGCTGGGCCTAGGATAACAGATTAGAATAGCCTATTGTTTTACTGTATCGTTGACCTTCATTCGGTTTACCGAGTAAGGTGAACTCGTAATAGCATTCAAGCATATCAGTTGATAAGTATATCAAAATTCAACTGACTATAGAATAAATCACCTTCAAAGTGATATAAATTCAAATTAGTTAACTCAGATATCAGTTTAAAAGTGTCATTGTTGAAGTTTTGATAAATAACTGAAAAATGTTTAACTTTAGGCATGACATTACTTGGTTTTGTATTACATCATATAGATTGATACTTGAAGATCATTTATTTCGGTTTCAGTAGACTTTATGACTATTAGTTTCTCATTTATTCTGGTCTATGCATTTCATAATCAAAGAGATGTAATTTAAAACTACCTTCATATGAGTATCAGTTTAATCTGCCTTTCGTTATTGACTGAAATACATCGAAATTATAGATTAGAAGTATAATAAAAGCATTGATATAAATCTTTCGCCAGTCAGTCAGTCAGTTACAATGTAGAACTTCGTACGTGAGTACATCAGTTCATGTTGCCATACCACATTAGCACAGAGACTCAGTTGTCAACTCAAATCTCATAGTGTTAGAGATTGTAGAAGAATTACTACTAATGGAAAAGATTAAGATTTGAAGATATTATTCAAGAAGTATAATTCAATGAGATAAGTTTAGAAAAACAACAGTAGAGGTGTTGACGAATCCATAAGATTAGAATTTGAGAGAACACAAAGAGTGGAGGATGCACCTACACCATTGCAAACGATTTTGAGCCATATCATTCAAGGTATTTTTAGTATGCATCGCAACAGATAAGTATTCAGTTCAAAAAATAAATCTAGCTGTGTATGAATATTCTCGAATAGAGATTCTAGCAACGACTCTTTTATCCCTCAATTTTATAAAGTATTTAATAAGTGTTTAGCAGGTGTAATATTTTTTGTTAATCAGTAAATAAATCTGAGGAATAAAGTAGTACTTGAATCAGCTATTTAGATGCTCAGTATATTCACTTTTCCCAACATGCTTACTTGTTCACATCCTTATTTTATTAGCACTAAAAACTAAGGTATAACCATTTCTATTACGGGGTTGTCAATATTGTTAAGTCACACATTTTTGAAACCATGAATCGATCAATGTTAGACCACCATTAGAAACCTGGAAGCACTGGATGGCCGTTTCATCCTGGTATGGGACTCATCAGTGACAGTGAGCATCCACGACTCCTGCACCCCGCAGGATTCGAACCCAGGACCTTCAGTATTGTAGGCGAACGCCTAACCATCGGACCACTGAGCCGGTATCTAACGGTGTTAATGTCTTTTTACGATTCTTAACTAATTGTCTGCATAGTAATCAATACAACTATCATTTGGATTATTCTGATGCCTGCATTGATATGCTTGGATTATGGTATTCACATATAGGTTTCCTATCATTATTGATTTACAAATTTACAAAAGAAATTCTCATGTTAATATTATATTATATTATCTTAATTTATAGAATGGAAGAAGATTCATCAAAAAAAAATGAAAATAGATTTAAACAATGGTTTAATCGAAATTTCAAATTAAGTTTAAAACCAATGATTAAAGCTACAAAAAGTGAACCGACTACACCAGATTTCATTGAAGATGAAAGTCATAATAATAATATTATAAATTACAACATTAATCCTAAAGCATTATCTATGAAAGCGATAACATTTCATCATAAACATTCTGGTTATAATGAAGCACCAAAATTTATGGGTTTATTACAATCGGAATATCATATTATGCCAGCTCAAATGAATGAACTGTCCTCATCATCATTGAATCAGAAAACAATTTGTTTATTCGAACCGATATTATTATTTTGTTATGTTCAGTCGACTGCACAAGATGTAATATTTATTTGGCAAAAAGATTCTATTGAAATACAACCCAGTGATAGGATTGATGTAAGTTGTTGTTAAAATAAAATTGATTTAATTGTATTACTATTTGTTTAAACAAACTGATAATAAGAACTGCTGATTTATTGGTTTACATTGTCTCTTCTTTGATTATCTAGTAAATTTAATGAACGAGATCAATTCTTGTGCTATATATCAAGGCATATAGAGAAATACAAAGATAAGCGTTTAATTTAAAAAATCCGTCACATCCATCTATCGACTTGTTTAAACGTTAGATATTCAGATTAAAATGGTATATTCATTTTGCTTTATCGATAACTTTTTACTACCTTCACATCTAATTTGGTTAGGCCCCTTTGATTAACTTATTTAATTGAATCATTCGTACAAGCAATAACTTATATGTACCACCATATCGGCTTTTATTATTGTCGAGTTTGTATGAGCAGGTATGGATGGAACATTGCTTGCCGCCTATGTGCATATTCATTTTATTTGCTTTAATGTTAATCTCTCAATTCAATGACTCAGTCATTTCCTTTAGTATATATATATGAACATTTTAATCTTATTCTTTCATTTGCTAATTCGCTCGTTTGCTCTTCGGCACTCGCATAACATTTTTGCTTCGTGTGCTTATGATTTCGGTGGTCTATTTGTGGTGTGACAATAAACGCACTCAACGCTTCGTATTCGTCCTTTGGATATTATCTAGTAACGGTTGTCAGGACGATCAGTATATGAAGTCTGCCACAAAACTTATGAGACACCGGCCACCAAATAAAACTATGAATTTTCGACTATTTATTAGATTAGTAATCAATATAGATAACGAAAAAAAGATTTTTATCATGTGGATCAATTAATTATCTTGGAATTACGGTGCTTAGGAATTTATGTGTGCTTATTGTATTTAATAGTGGATAGTTTTAGCAACTCAGTTTAACACGGTGTGATTGCAGTGCCATTTTAATGCAATTTTATAGGAAAAGCTTATTTACAATCATAAGATACTCATAATTTTTCACTGACAGGATATCTGCTAAAAACGAGGGAATGAATTGACTTGAGACAGACAATATGTGGCAGACATTTTCTTGAATATTTTTTCTAATACGTCGCAAGGACCTTTATGCATTGTATATATGAGTAGAATATATATATTATATATATCGTCTTCAATTACCTAAAGCATCTTTTGTCATAAGAAATTGTAAACCTAAGAAGTGTTCAATTGTTAATTCATATATATTATACAGACAAAGTCACCGAAGACAGACTTATCTGACAAAACAATGATGATTTTAAAACAGACTTATTCAAAAACAATTTTCATTTCAAAATGAATAAACCAAGAAAAAAATTAGATTTCTTCATTTTCTGCATTCCAATGAACTGGTTAAATCTATATAGACTAACATAGAAGTAATAAAAATCTGGTGACTTTGACTAGGCCGGTAGGATTTCTGTTTTCACATACTGATATTACAAAATTCTGTTAATTAGCCAATATAATATATTGTTATTGATAAATATAAACTGAGTTCACTTCTATGGATGTATGTATGTACTTCTTTGTTTTAATTTCATAGATTTTTAGTCAAGAAACAGCCACTCAACTTAGAATTAATCATCCTAATTTATCAGACAATGGAGATTATGATTGTATTGCAATGAATCCTGAAGGTAAATGTTCTACTCATACACATATTTTCATTGAATTACAACAACAACAACCCAATGTCGAGCTAACGAATTCCACATTATCAAGCCCCATAGTGGAAGATGATGTAAATTTTCATCAGACACCAGAGGATTCCATTGAACATGATGATCAATTCAGTTTAGTGAATAATGATCTTGAAAAAACCATATCTAATCATTTTTCACATCAAAGTTCATTAAGCCATATCGGGTTTCGGCGTACGGTATGCTATTCAAAATGTTTAATTGATACAAAAGAAAATAACACTGTAAATAAAACTGAAAATCTTTTTTTAAAATTCAACTCAATATCTGAATGTGAAAATATCATCGTCTCAAATGATAAGTATATTGGTAGTAGAAGATATCAAGATAATAATAATAATAATAAAGGATGGAAATATAATTCATTTCGATATTTACGCAGTTATGATATGAATCGAAGCAATCATTGTATACAAAATGGATACATTAATCAAAAGGATCACAATCACAACAATGACATTGATATTCAAAAATTTGTGCCAATCAAAGAACAGATAAATTCCAATAAGATTCATTCAACAAATTCCATTGATGATACTTATATGAAAGTGAATCATTCTAATTCAGTGGGTAATGATGAAAATATTGTAGAAGAAAATGCAATCATCCGGTCAAAAACATGTAAACGACGCTATCAATCTAGTGGTTTGTTGACAAATGAATATTCAGGTAATTTGTTATACTATTGAACATTTGAACATTTGGCAGTTCGCTCCGTCCTACTATACGGATGCGAAACATGGCCATTAAGAGTAGAGGACATTCGTAGGTTACTAGTCTTCGATCATAGATGTCTCCGAAGTATTGCTCGTGTATCCTGGGACGACCAAGTAAGCTATGCAATCGTTAGGAAACGAGTTCTAGGTAGAGATGGCAAATCAATAGTTGAAGCATTGAAACTTCATCAGTTAAGGTGGTTTGGACATGTGTCACCTATGGCTAACCACCGACTGCCTCGACGAGCTATGTTTTGTGGTGTAGAAGTAGGTTGGAAGAAAGTTAGGGGCGGCCAGAACAAAACATGGCAGAAATCCATGAAGTCATTGACAAGTGGACTGAGTCATGTTGGTAGATGTAGGCTACTTGGTTGCGGTCCGCGAGACGAAAGTCACCAATGGTTAGAGACCCTGAATGACATGGCTCAGAATCGATCGCGGTAGCGCAGGTGCATCCACTTTTTGTGTTCTCTCAAATTCTAACCTTCTGAATTCCTCATAATCTCTATCTTTCTCTTTCTAAATTTATCTCACTGATTTATACTTCTCGAATCATATCTTCGCTCCCAAATCTTCTCCATCACTGCTAATACTTCTACTGTTGCTATTACTGTCGGATTTGAACTGACAATTGCGTCTCTGTGTGCTGATGTTTTGTATGGCAACCTGAACTGATGTACGTACGTACGAAGTTCTGCGTTAAATCTGCCTGTCTGTCTGTCTGACCATGTAATTTTATTTATTCTTTAACAATTCTTTATTTTCAGATTATTTTCAATACTATGATGAAGATGAAAAAATGATAAATTACAATAATCATAGTAATAGATCTCGAGTACGCAATCGTCAATCCTATGCAACAGATACATTTTGTTCAATCAGGAATGGTAATCATGGGAAATTACTACATAAAACTGCTTATAACAAGGTTGGAAAATCGTAAGTTCATTATTAATTAGGTTAATAGAAATTGTAAAAATTATCTTGATGAAACTAAATAATCGCTAGTGAATTTTTAATTATTTTTGTTAGAATAATTCTAGTTGACAAACACTGCTACACGTTAAATACTACTTCGTAGATTTATATAAATTCACGAGTTTGTTCAATGGATATACTCTTAGTTTAGTGTTGATATTTCGACTGAAGTAAGAACTTTGTTTTAATTGTATTGAATATCATTGTTCTATCCAATGGGTTACTTACTGGTTCAAATGATATAATCTATACTATGAAAAACTAAGAAATAAATACCAAACAGCGATTTTATCGGTGGTTAGGCTTTTGTGCTGATATACAATGAATCAGATAAAATAAATACTTTTATGTATGGTTGTAAAAAAGCACCATTTCAGAAAATGAATCTATTTTGCACGAAAATTCAAACATCAGCCAGTGCCATCAATAATTGTTTGTCTTTATTTTGACTAAATTGTGAAGTAAATAAAAATGAACAGTGGTGGTCTAACAATGATTGATTGATGATTTCAATGTGCAAAAGTCTAATTAAAAATATCGTAAAATGTGCTCACAAGTGACTAGCTTCGTGAGGAAATTCTTAGAGTTCTAGTGAGAAGACGTGACCAGTGGAGTGCAACCCTGTTGGATGTAGGCAGTAACTATCAAAGACAAATGGGTGAGGTTGCGCAAAATCCTTAGAGCAATCAGAGTTAGACATTAACACCGCTGGATGCCAGCCCAGTGGTCCAGAGATTAGGCGTTCATGCACACGACCGAAGGTCTTGGGTTTGAATCGTGCGAGGTGTAGGAGTCGTGGATGCGCACTGTTGATGAGTCCCATAATCTCTGAAACGTAAAATTCATTTATGACAATCTGAATCGGAAATTTTTCCAGCTTCAGAAGACTCATCGCGGAAGCTGTAATGCAGAGACTAGAAGCATCGGTTTTATCAGTGATCAAGTCAAAAATGTGGATTCGCTCTGTAGACGACATATTCTTCATTATTAAAAGGAACGAGCTAGAGAACATTTACAATCAGATCAACAACGTCTTCGATGGCATAAAATCCATGATCGAAAAGGAACCAAACAACAGTATATCATTCCTGGAATTACTAATCACCAGAACTAACAAGGGAAAACTGGAAACTCAAGTATTTTGGAGGCCAACCCACATAGACGTAATTCTCAACTACGGTAGCGAAAACCCAAGAACCCACAAAATCAACTGCACACAAACTTTGTTCAAGAGAGCGAAGACACACTGTAGCACATATGAAGCACTGAAAAACGAGGAAATGCATATCATAACTGTCTTCCGAAAGAACAGATATCCACTCAACCTCATCAAAAAACATCAACCTAAATCGTCAACGGAAGCGAAATCAAGTACAGGAACCAATAAACAGATCATCCGACCATACATTAGAGACATATCGAAACTTACAGCACGACTACTGAGACCATTTGGAATAGGTATGGCAAACAAACCAACAGAATCATTTCAATCAATCCTATGTAGAACGAAGGATAAAATGACAAAGGAAGAAAAACCAAATATCATCTACAAAATGAATTGCTCAGATTGTGAAAAACACTATATAGGACAAAGTGGACGGCCTCTTCAGCTTCGTTTACGTGAATACCAATTAGCAGTCAAACGCCACGGCAAAGCTTCGCTCATATCAATAAACACCGACAATTATGGACATACGTTCGATTGGAACAATGTTGAAATATTGGATAGGGGGAACACAAAATTACTAGAGAATTATTAGAAGCTTGACTCTCACAATTCAATCAGCAATCAACAAACACATCGACATTGACCCAATTTATCAACCGATCAGAAAAATCATAGGTGACATAGGATCGAAAAACAGATCAAAATGGGGATACAATCAAAACAAAGGTGCAAACAATGACAGGTTGAAGGTAAACAGCAACCAACCAAGATCGAGGTTAGCAGAACAAGCTACAGGTCAAACGTGGAGAAATCGGAATACTTGACTTCTATCTGAAGTTAGTGCAGATGATGTTGTTCAGAAGAACAATGAAAGCTCCACAACCAAAACATCCAGCTCAGAGAACGAAACACCACAACAACTTTAAAACACTTCATGCTTTATGACTAATATTGTTACCTAAATTTGAAGTAATTGATAATGTATCAGAAAATACTCTTCACACTATGTACGTCCTAAGCCTTCAGGAGTTTATCAAATGGTATTATAAAAAGCGATTCCATGTCTTCTACAAATCAAGAGAAACGTATATTTACACATGCTAATCAGATAAAATGTATGTATGACATATTACGGTCAAGGTTATGGCCTTTTGAATTTGTGCACAATAGGTGTGAGGATAGCCATTCGTTCCTCAATGTTCATTAAAAATGTATTAATTAACATTTTCGAGCATTTTTCTATTTGCCAAGTACGTCAAAAATGCATAAAAACAGTGTAATTTACAACAAGGACTTCATTTTAATCATCTGAAGCTGTTTAAGTATTTCCTCCGTGAAAACACTACTGCAATCCATCACTTGTCAAGTAAAAATAACACAAGAAAGTGGTAATCAGAACTTGAAATAAAATTCCTAATGGAAATTTTGTTCTTATGTGCAGTATATACTCCCTAAATCAAAGAAAAAATACACGATATCATACACATATTGAACACTGAGATGCAAATGTACTACAAATTCACGGACACATATTCTGACTGCATATTAGGAAATTTCGCCTTTTAGTATTCTTATACAAACTAGTGATTGATCATATCTATCTTTTAACGAATTATTCATACTACCTATAAATCTGCATAACTCCTTTGTTTGAGAGAAAGACATATTCATGTTTAAAAACTGAATTATTTATTTCAGGGGTGCTGCTAACCTTCAACGAGCAAATAGTTCAGCAATGTCAAAGGTAAGTAATAAAAAGGTTTTTCGGACAAGTTTTTATATTTCTCATTAGTAGAAAACATCAGTAAGAGTACCATGTACAAAAATATCAAATAATTAATAAAATCTTAATTACTTACGCTTGTTGCCTCTCGTATAGCATAGGCTGCCGACTTGAATCTTGCAGCTAAGTCCTGAGCTCTCCTTTCTAGTTGTTCAAAATAACTATCTATTGTTTTTATGTCTGCGATTTATTTTTTTCGACTAACTTAGCACTTTACGGTTGAGGTCTCTATAAGACAGTTGCGAGTTTACAGGAAAAAAGGAAAACAGATGTTTCCTATTTTCTTCAGTTAGTAGAGCTCTAAAACGTGCACAGTTCAAATTCTGGTTTGAACTATTCACAGAAAAAAAACTGGTCAAGACTGGTAGGTTCATTGGCGATAAGTAAACTCCTCATAATACCTTATATTTTCATTATTTTGTTAATAATTAGTTAGGTACTAAGTAAAATTAAACTTTCACTACTGAAACAACTATCACCAAGTTTTTTTTAATAATATAAATTGCATTGCGGGGTTGTTGTGAAGATTGTTAAGTTTTATTTGTAACCATGAATCGATCAATGTTAGATCACCATTAGAAACCTGGAAGCACTGGACTGGCATTTCGTCCCGGTATGGGACTCATCAGCAGTGTGCATCCACGACTCCTGCACCCCACAGGATTCGAATCGAGGACGCGAACGCCCTAACCGTTAGACCGCCGATGAGTCGCATACCAGGACGAAACGGCCGTCCAGTGCTTCCAGGTTTCTAATGGTGGTCTAACATTGATCGATTCATGGTTACAAATAATAATAGAAATGAAAAATAAATGTTTGTCACTCTATTTAAAAGAGTCATAGGTAAACTTGTTTATTCAAAGTGAACTGATGTTATTTTATCTCCCCCGCGCCCTGATCAGCCAGTACTTTTAAGTGATTATTTGAAAATTTTTTTTAATTTCTTCAGAGTTCAACTACATCCGATGCAAAATCACTCAATGAATTTCTATTTCATTCCAATCTCTTAAATGTTAATCATCATCATCGATCAGCAGCAGGATCTTCCATTTCCGATATAGTTTTACTTTCTGGTTGGCTTACACCAAAATCAAAATCATCACAAATATCATTGAATGATATTGATTTCTATCCTGTGAATGGTGTCAAGCTAATTGAAGTAAGAATGATGAATTCATCAAGTAAGGTAAATCATCAAAGTTCTATCAGTGATGTTGTACAAGAGATTGTAATGCAATATGTGGAAGCTTCACAACAATATCATCATTCCTCATTTAGCCGTGAAGATTCAAATTGTGAGTTTAAATGATTAGATCAAATTGAATGATAACAGAATTTGTTTAATTTAAAAGGTTAAGTATGTTATTTACTATTTATGTGAATGAATGAATCAATGACAACAACGTGTTGTTCACCTTGATAGTTTTTTTTTCTAAAAATGTGAAAACAAATCAAAACAGTTATAAATCATAAAAGCAAACAGTGAAGTATAAATAAGCTGTTTTATATCATTTAGCTTCAAGATAACTTTCGACCTGATAATGTTAATTACACAGTGCACACAATGATTTTGCAGGTATATTGAAATGGAATTAGTGATATTATTTATGTATTGATATTATTTTTAATCATTCTTTCAATCTGTTCCACTTGTAATATAAGGTCGTGATAATACTGCTATACATTTCAACTTAAACTTAATTTTCGATTGGAATATTTAATGCATCTCATTATATATCATCTATTTGATATGAGTGCATAGTTTTGCAGAAAGTTATGATTAACGTATAATTCAAATAGAAGATTGAAATTTGGTAAGTAGGTAACAGATGTGTTTACTTCAAATGTTAAAGAAATTAGACGGTAGTTTTTTACGCACAACTCATCAGATCAACAAATTGTTCAACTGAAAACATCCAATACCCCAAAGGTATTTTGCGTCTTAATGCAAATGTCTATTAGACACTTGTTTTCTCCTGAAAGAAGGTTTGGATCTTGCCTTTTCATTACAAGATCCATAGTTGGCAACAGCAAATGCTCAAATGTAGTCTTGAACATCAAAACATGGAGTTAAGAACATTTGTTGTTACTTTCGAATCTACTGAACAAGTAAGTAATAATCCGGGCCCAGTAGGGTATATTTGCACTTGGTTCCAGCTTTAGTATAAACATTAACACGGATATAAGTACATCCAAGAGGCAAGTCTTAAAAAGGGTCAAATCTAGATCCTCAATTTCACTGCTAATATCAGCCTAAATATTTCAACTAACTTTTCTTAGGAATATGATAGACTGTTTCATAACTTTCAAAAATAAAACGTATATCTTATCATTAATTTTCAGATGGATCTGTAAGCAGAAAAAGCAGTTTTAATCTAGAACAAATCAAACCAATAATCACAGATGAACATTCTATGTCAAATGAAGATCAAAATAGTACACAACAAGCCAACAATGTTCTAAATAATGATAAAGATTATGAAACAATGACAGGTACAACGTTATCCAACGACACAGCTGAAACTATGTTGGACGAACGAAAACAAACTAATGTCAATGTTTCCGACTGTGATGAATCAGAAAGTCAGTCAATTTACGAATGTTCTAAAATCACTCACAATCAAATGAATATTAAAACATCTTCATTGAGTACATTGATATGTAATAATAACTCAAAAGCTGATAAAATATATTTTTCAAAGGAAACTATTCCTACTGATGATAAAAAAACTCAAAGCGATTCAGTGAACAAGTTTTCTTTAGAAAGTGTTTCACAAATTTTAGAAAATTTGCCAATTAAACAACTGCCTACCGAACCGATTAAAAGACGTCCAAATATTAGTTCAATATTAATTGACAAAAGGTTGTTATCTTCACCAGATAACACTAAAGACAATTTGTCAGTGTCTCCAATTGAAAAGACTCGCTCACATAAACTACTAAAGGAACCTTCTCAAAATAAAACAACTGAACGATACCAGTATACAGAAAACGCAAACCGATTAACACGATCTAGGAAGTGTTTAAAAGAATCTCATCGACCGTCAATTAGAGAAGATAAATCTTCAAATCATGGATTGAATGATAGTACCTACTATCCAAATGATAATTGTATTGAATCAACAACAACTTCCAAGGCTGATGATGCTTCTTGTAGCCCCATTGGTCCATGTAACATTGTTGTACAAAACTCGGATGGTCATATTATTAACAATGATTCACAAGCATTTAACAATGCAAAATATGCTAAAACTAAAGATGGTTTGTATCGTAGTTCACATGAATGTGATCGACGCCATCAAAATAGAGTACATGAATTAATTCAAAAATTTCAAGTTCCTTCAAAAACTGCCTGTTTATCTCCTAGTCAACAAATTATTAATCGTATACCACGTTTACATAATGAAAACTTAACTAAACCTGATGATTTGACAGAAAAAACATTTTATAGTAGTATTGGTGTAGACAAGATGATTACAAATCAGATTTTAAATAATTCAAGTAAAACAAATATGCGTTCAGCGCTACCATCGTCATCGTCTCCGTCGTCTCCATCTCCATCGTCATCATCGTCATCATCATCATCATCATCATCAGTCTCACCCGATCAGCTTCGGCGAACTTCGGGAATAAATCATCATCCTTTGGCATCTTTAAGAACAGATAGTAACCAATGTGAAGAAAAGTTTGAAGAGCCTATTATACAGACCATTAATCAGTCTACAAAATATCAAAACAGCAACGAACATCACGACGATGTAACTCATGCTGTTAGAAATGATCCAGTCAATGCAATTACAAAATCTGTCAGCTCAACCATTACACACAATCTTGTCACTCGAAGTACTAAAATTGAAAATTTCAATTCATCAAAACTTCATTTAAAAAAGTATTCAGCATATACAACACATGATGAATCGAAAGAAACTCAGCGTAAAATAATTAAACGTGAGGCTTATGTAAGTCAAAGAAAGATAACACCAGAAGAAAACAAAACAGAATTAACAACAAACTTGCCAGAAAACGGATTTATTCCTCAAATGAAATTGCTTCAGGTTCCATCTTTAGAGAATGATGTATCAAAACGGGTAAATACTCAGTCACCAAAACCTGTAGAACCATCAGACAAACTGCTTACTCATATCGATAAATCTCTGTCAGACCATTCGAATGTGGAACATACCAATGAGAAAAGTTCTTCAAAGTTAAAAGGTTAGTTACTTTTTCTTATCCGCTTTCCTAAAATATAATATTGATTGGGATCTTGAATTACTGTTGTGCAACTTATCATCCATAATCTGTGGCCAGTTTATCAATTACTGTCTCAATTATTAACAGACACTTTTAGCTGGTTCATGCATAACTATTTTTTATTTTATGGTGTAATGCGGTCTTTGTATGTCTGTCTATAAAGAACGTCTTTTTGAATGACTTGTATACATATTGCTGACTCCTAGATTCAAAGGCTTGAGCATAAGAAGAAACTACTGATTAGTGGTGAACTAAGTGTTAATTGCGGTGTGTTAATGTTCAAGTCAGAGACATTAATTTATGAAGTAAATAGCAAGGAAATAGATAAATGTTTTCAGTCAGAAGTTAAAAGGTAGCAGTTATCTTTGACAAAAACTGTTTAATGAAATGATAAGCGATTAACGAAACTGTTAGGATATTCATTCAATATCCTAAGAGAATTATTGGTCAATTCCTATCGGTTCATTCCTACTGGTCAATTTTATGGTCGTCCTAGATATCAATGTCACGTGCTCCAATGTTGTTTCTTATTGGTAGTCCTGACTATCAATGTCACTTCAAATGTTGCTTCCTATTAGTTGTCCTAACTGTCAATGTCACAGACTTCGATGCTGTTTCCTATTCCACCAAAATGTATAAATACGCATTATCTGAAACGTTTTATGACCACGACCAGGACCCGTTCCCGGATCCCTAGTCCGAGATCCTGATTCTCTCCAGGATTCGAACCTCGTACTTTCTGGATGCTTCTAGAATACATGTTCTACTTCATATCATGTCTTCTTATTTTTTACTCAATATGGGGGTTAGGATAATCGGATTTGAGTAGCATGTCATGTCACCGGATCCTCGCTCTCGTTTCCCGACTAGGTAAACTTGTAATAGTTTAAGCAGATTTTAACGATCTACATTAGTGAAACATATTTGAAAATAGTCTACTGTTAGAAACTGACGAATCTAAAACTGACTGTTTATCACTTTCAGGACTGAATGAAAGAAACTCTCACTAATTTGACCAATATGATGTAGTTAGAAATTAAGTTTTACTTTTCTAGATCGAATAACAGTTTTGTAGTATGACACAGTACTCATTATCGACTAAACCTGTAAAGACAATGCATCGCACATAAACAATAATGAAATGCAAGTAATGAGCCAACTAGTATTCTTTTAATTAACGAATATTGACGTTACGGCTGGATGGTACAGATAGCATTTGATAACATTCAGCCATTGTAGTAAAAGTAGGGGAACTATCAGAAGTTTCAGCCAACAAACTCAGTGGGAAATTCCGAACGACATGAAGTTTGATTGATTGATTGATTGATAGGTACAGACAGAAGTGACCATCGGTGAAACATTTTAGTATGATGGAAGTTCACTAACTATTTTACATCTCCTACTGATCCGTTGTTTGTTGTGCAGAGGTGTGGAAACCATCCATTTGGATTAATCATTTGGCTCACTTGAAGTTTTCAAATTGAATAAGAACATGTGGTTGATACTAACATAATCTGATGGAGTTTCGTTCTCTGAGCTAGATAGCTAACATGACGTGCATAGTGTGCATTTTTCCTCAGCTAAACAAAAAATCTTTATAATCAAAAAGAAATTATAATCAAACTGTGAGGCAGTAGACTACAATTCAACTTTCTTAGCGCATTCTACTTACCACAAGACGTGAACTGCTGCGTAGTACACTCGTCCTTTAGTCAGCAAACGGATATCTCGCCTACGCTATAAGTGAAGGAGGTTGGCAAAAGCCGATCGAGCCTTCTGTATCCGTGCTGAGATTTCTTCAGTCACCAGGCCATCAGCGCTGATGAGACTTCCCAAATAAGTGAAGCGGTCCACATGCTCAACTGCTTCACTCCCTATGACTAGATCAAGTGCCAATGCAAGCCAATCCCGAAGCAACATGTTGCATTTCGACAGGGAGAATAGCATCCCGAACATGCTAGCATGAAACAGTAACTTGAACTACCTAGTCAATCAATATCACATTTTTGATAAAAATCAATATTTCGCAGAGCATGATATCGAAAATTGTAATAAATTTGTATCTTCTGTGATTGCTACAAGCTAAAACGAACTGTCCCTAAACTTTAGGTTGTATTTCACGTTTGAAACTTTTAAAGGGAATTATTATGACAACAATTCAGAAATGATAATGAATTCATTGAAAATATGCTGGGGATGTTAGATCCCCAAAACTCGCTTGATAAATGCCTTATTTTGGATTTCACGTTTGCCAGCATGGGCTGATCAGTTCACCTTGAGATTTCATTTCCCGCCAGCAAAATCCTTGACTGTGATTGGCTGCTGTGTATTTTAGTGTGCTATTTTCTTAACTATCCCAACGACGTTTCTATGATGTATAAATAAACGAGAGTTGTGTGCTTGATTGTGCATTGTGATTGCTGGGTGTTTGTAGAATATGCTTTCTACGCTTACAAAGCCTTTTTTACTTCCGCTGGGATTGAAGGTAGCCTACATGGACGCTGGTTCATTGTCTCGTTTCGCGTTTATCGACTAAGATAAACTCGTAATAGCCTCAAGCATACTTAGTGACGAACATAATAAAATAACAACTCAATAAACATATTTTAGGCAGTAGAAAAAAAATTCAATGAAATTTGTGCAACACAATGAATGCAAACCATTTTAATTTGTATTTATTTCTCATTATATTATGTTTTAGTTAGTATGAACTAATTGAAAAAAGCTTTTTGTGCAGAGTATTATTGCATTCATGATTATTTCTATTTAAGCATATGATATGATAGTGTTTATATTAATACAGTACAATATATAGTAAATTCATAATTCTCACAGGTTGAATACAACATTGAATGAAGTTGTGTGTGAAAATTTATCTATTGTAGGTTTTTATTCGTCTTTTTCTTTACAACTGTTTATATTTTTTCTATATTGATATTTTACTATGTTGAGCTGCTTTCAATTCATGATAGTCGTTTGTGTTTTACAAAAACAATCTATTTAAGCATTAAAACGGTGAATAGTGAACATTGAATCGTGTTCTCAAGTTCCTTAGACCTGATCGAATGTGATCGATCAGGTTTTATTATAGTTTGCGTTACGGGGTTGTGAAGATTGTCAAGTTACACAATTTTTTGCAACAATGAATCGATCAATGTTAGACCACCATTAGAAACAAAGGAAGCACTGAAACATGGCCGTTTCGTCCTGCTATGGGACTCCTCATCAGTGCGCATGCACGACCTCTGCACCCCGCAGGATTCGAACCCAGGACCTTCGGTAGTGTGCGCGATCGACTAACGTTCGGACCACTGAGCCGGTATCTAAAGGTGTTAATGTCTAACTTGATCAATTCACGGAGTCGCGCAACCTCATACACAGTCTTCGGTAGTTACTGTCTACACCCGAACAGGTTGAACTTCACTGATCACGTCTTCCCACTAGAACTCGGAGAAGATTCCTCACGAAGCTAGTCACTAGTGAGCACAGGTAATTTGCTTTACGGGGTTGTGAAGACTGTTAAGTTAGACACTAACACCGTTAGATACCGGCTCACTGGTCCGATGGTTAGGCGTTCGCCTACAATACCGAAGGTCCTATGTTTAAATCCTGAGGGATGCAGGAGTCGTGGATGCGCACTTCTGAGGAGTCCCATACCAGGACGAAACGGCCGTGTTTCAGAGCTTCCAGGTTTCTAATGGTGGTCTAACATTGATCGATTTATTATGGTTGCTGCAATGGATTATTAGGGTGTTATACTCTGAATATTGTATATATTTTGGAATAATTCAATTTTCTGCTTACTTTAGATAGTATCAGGTAAATTGTTAAGGTCGTCACTAGGTATGCTCGAAACTGTTACGGGTTCTGTTTAGTCGATAAACGAGAACGAGACAATGAACAAGCGTCCAGGTAGGCTACCCTGATCTGATGAATAACCAAAATGTCTTGATATAGCGTAGAAAGTATATTCTACAAACACACAGCCAGCCAGCACAATGAATTCAAGCAAAGAAATCGCGTTTATTTATACATCATAGAAACGTCCGTGGGACAGTCACAAAAATAGCATACTAAAATGACACAGTAACCAATCACAGTCAAGGATTTTCCTGGTGGTAAATGTGATCTCAAGATTAACTGAACAGCTCATGCTGGGAAACATAAAACCAAAAATTAAGGCATTTATCAAGCGAGTTCTAGGGATCTAACGTCCCCTAATGTTAGTACTCATTACAGAGAACAAAAAATGATTTCTCACAAAAGTGGACAATTCTGAATGTCCAGTTTTATTGCTTGACTGGTTATCATTTAATGTATCTCTAGAAACTATATATTTCAGTATGATATATAGATAATACTCATCAATAGGTCAGCAGCTTACAAACAATTATGTACAATTTGAATAAAGTATTAACCTGTGATGTTAACCTCAAAAATCACTGAAAATCAGAGATTATTGAGTAGTAAATAGTTTCAAACTTTCATTTTCTGGACGCAAAGAGCCTACCAGAAATAAACTGCTGGACGATCTGGACTTCGCAGATGACCTGGCTCTCGTATCACACACGCAACAACAAAGGCAAAAGAAGACGGCCAGTGTAGCAGCAGCTTCTGCAGCAGCAGGTCTCAACACACACAAAGGAAAAAGCGAAATTCTCCGATGAAACACAACATGCACCAACCAAATCACTCTTGATGGAGATGCTTTCGAGGACGTTAACACCTTTACATATCTGGGCAGCATCATCGACGAGAAAGGTGGATCGGATGCAGATGTGAGGGCGCGGATTGGCAAAGCAAGGGCTGCATTTCTACAATTGAAAAATATCTGGAACTCCAAACAACTTTCAACCAAAATCAAAATCACGATTTTCAATACAAATGTCTAGACTGTTCGACTGTATGGAGCGGAAACTTGGAGAACTAACAAAGCCATCATCCAGAAGATACAAGTGTTTATTAACAGTTGTGTACGCAAAATACTTCGGATTCGTTGGCCAGACACTATCAATAACAAGGATCTGGGGGAGAGAACAAACCAGATTCCAGTGGAGTAGGAAATCAGGAAGAAATGGTGGAAGTGGATAGGACACACACTACGAAAAGCACCTAGCTGCGTGACAAGACAAGCCCTCAGTTGGAACCCTCATGGTGAAAGGAAAAGAGGAAGACCAAGGAACACATTACGCCGAGAAATAGAGAAAGATATGAGAGGAATGAACAAAAACTAGAAAGAACTAGAAAGGGAAGACCGATACAGAGATGGTTAGAGAAAACTGGTGTGCGGCCAATGCTCCATTGTGGGTAACAGCCGTGAGCAAGTAAGTAAGTAATGATATGATACCAGAGATAAGATTAAATACCAAACATACCGTTCACTGATTTGTAACTTCTTATGTAAAATATTTCATGTATAGAAGATTACTCTGTTTAAATTTCATTTCACAATGTTTGTCTAAATTCTTCCAGCAGATCAAAATGAATCTATTGAGTATCCGTTGAAAATCAATACTTTCAAAAATATCAATCCTACTGATCATTATGAAGAGATTGCAGTGCTTGGTTAGTAAGTGTGTTCAATATTATTTAATAATTATAGTGATTGACTATTATTTACCTTAATTTTAAATTTATCAAGTAGTTTTATGTAAGAAAGAAATCTTATAAGAACTATATCGATGTATTCATTATCATTTCTGATACACTCATTCGTAGGCGTTTTTGTTTAAAAATTAAATATCGTTGTAAGTAAATGATTACTATATAACGATTAAGTCCAATATTAAATGAAATGTCAAAAAAGAAAATGAGAATACTTTTAAAAAGTGGAAATACGCTTATAGCTCATGAGTAGTTGATCTGGTTAGATTAGAAATGTTGATAGAACAGTGAGAAGATGTAATTGATCTGAAAAATATGATGTATTTGCGCTATACATTTCGAACAAATATATTTACTTGTCAAGGCATTTTAAATGAAGTTTAATAAAAGGTTCAAATAGACATAAGGTGAAATTGTAAATGAAGGAGAGAGACAATTAACGTAATAGAGAAAGAATAAGAGAGGGTAAGAAATAGTCACATTACCCTAAGCCATAAAATGGCTTAAAGATTACCAGGGTAAATTCAAGGTTAAAACATTTTGTTTCTGTACGCATAAGGGGGTTTTCAAGGCCTCCATAAACCTCAAAATTCGTCCTTCAACATTTCTATACAATGTTTTGAAGGCTGTCTTGATGTCAATCTTATTCCCTGTCTCAATTATGTGTTTTGCGATCGATGAACATGGTTCCAACGCTAATCGGCTCATCTGACGTTAACTGATTTTGAAGCCACTTAAGT